ATAGTGCGGCGCATTTAGGCTAAACCCTAAACCCTAAACCCAATAGAGGACAGCTGGGGGATCAGCACAGGATTTGCAGTTTGGGACTCAGAGCGCGGGGATGGAGGTTTAGGGTTTAGGGTTTAGGGTTTAGGGTTTAATCACTGGAGGCACAACAGTCTCCACTATCAGACTATGCTTCAGGCATTTTCACAAATTTCCTGAACCCTGAATCCTAATTGAACCGTAAAAATCTGGAACCATTGCCCTTAAACACTCAACCCAAAACCCTACAATCCGAAACCCTTATCCTTAAACCTAAACGCTAAGCCACTTTGCAAGCAGCCTGCCGCAACGACAAGCCTGACACCAACAACGACCGCCGCGACAGGAACAGCAGCTGCAACAGCAACCGCAATGACGTCAGCCCATCATCATTCAGCAGCAACAAGAGAGTGCTAAGATGTGCTAAGTGTCTTGTTCAACCCCAGTACCCTTTAGTGATCTACTCTGACAAATGGTATCGAGGCTCAGGTAATCCCCGGTGAAGATGCTGAGGCTCTGGTGCGTCTTCGAGCTTGCGGCTTACAAAAAGGTGAACCCTGGAGGAAAAATCACATTCAGACCACTTTTCATCGAAAGGACTGTGTGCGTGATGCTGGCTTCGGCATACTGCTTTGCAGCTTTATTTCTCATCGCAAGGGATGTCTTTGGACCGGGCATCACGACGCTGGCTGTCGCCTTCGCTATTTTCGCGTGCCCCTATGCTGCGGGCATTTATTTGCTTCGAATGAGCTTCCGAGAGAAGCACCAACTAATTTCACAGCTTGCGAACTTTGACCTGGAAGAAGTGCACTGCGCCGAGCAGTTCGACCGCCCCTCGGAAGCAAAACCTCGCTTCTGCAGTGTCAGGCTTTGTGTTTTTCTCATATGATTATGGCAGGTCGAGAGTCGATACCTGGCAGGTATGCGGGTCTGTAGTGGTTTTAGCATTGCAAGGGGGGACTCGTGACTAGCTCCTGCCGGGCTGGAGGATAACGTGCAAATTGCACGTCCTCGGAGCCTTTCGGCAAGGTGCCTAATTCGTAAACCCTAAATATCCCTAAGTCGTAACCCCGAAACGTGAACTGCCGCGATGAGCGGCTGTTGTTGGGGAATCTGGTCCGCGGCTCATGCCAGGCTAGCCCTGAAATCACGAAAGGCAGTGTCCAAAACCTACACCTGCACGCCCCTCTCTCTCTCTCTCTCTCTAGATAGACACACACACGTTTGCGTGTGAAAAATTGCAGCAGAGACATATACATATACATCTACATATACATATACAGATACAGATACAGATACAGATACAGATACAGATACATACATACATACATACATACATACATACATAAATACATACATACATACATACATACATACATACATACATACACACACGCATACATACTTTCATATATATATGTATATATATATATATGTGTGTGTGTATGTGTATGTGTATATATATATATATTTGGTAGCATATTCCACACACATATATATATATACACACACTTATTTATTTTTATCTATTTAGTTACTTATTTATTTATTTATACACCCATATATGTGTATATATGTACACACACAGTTGCCGAAGTTTCAGCTCCCGAAATCCCCAAGTCCCGCAATTCCCTGAGCTGCTGATATTATATTGTATCGCATTACATTATAGTGTGTTATGTTGCGCTATATCATAAATAGGATTTAGGGTGAGGGTTTAGGGTGTTATGTTGCACGATGTTGGAATAGGATAGTGTTGTATTAAATTATATGTCGTCCGGCGAACCCTATGAGTCTGGGAGAGCCTACATGCAGGTCGGGGCTAAAGGCTTGGAGTTAACGATAAGAGGGGTCTAGTGCTTCGGTTTTGGAGTTTAGGGTTTAGGGTTTTGAATTGAATCCTGTTGGCCTGTAAGGTTTACGTCAAGGGTTGCCAGCGAGGAGACTTCATCCACTCAGCTATCGAGAAGTGGTATGGAAGCAAGAGGGCCTTCACCCAGTTCGTGCGTCAAGATCTGAGGCAACGAATGTTTGGTGTTGGGTTACAAGATCAGATCTACTGCGGAAACCACTTACACCCCGAACCCGCGCACAGTATTGCTCCAGACACTGCGAAGTTCCCTTCAAAAAACAAGCCCAACTACGACTGCTGAGTAGCAATAATGATATGCAAAACATGACTATATAACGAGTGTTTACTGGTTTTCTACGCCCTACAGCCTCTACCCTCCACATACCATGCGAAGGAAGCACCTCCGCCCCATATCCTGGACCCCATAAACCCTGCACGCACCAAGAAGCCAAACAGAAGAGGCAGCTCCCAGTGACCCCTAAACCGACATTTCGGGAGGAAGGATGTGGAAAAAATCCTGGCTGCTAAACGTCTGCCGAGACGCTATTTGCTACTTCTGCTCCTCACCTGAGCTCACATAGAGAAGAAAAAAGTTTAGGGCCTAGGGCCAAGGGTTCAAGGTTTGAAGGTTTAGGATTTAGGGTGTGTGGCTCCAGGGTGCTGTGTAGTATAAGGGCTCCTGAAAGAGACTCCAAGGGTTCTCTATAGAAGCAGTTTCCATCTGTTCTAGAGTATGATTAGAAATCTTGCGTTCATTTTGGGTGCTTACTGCTACTGAAGAACCTCATAACGCATTAGATCAAAAAAGAGTAACTCCGCGACTGCAAGATCCGCGGGAATCTAGAAGCTGAATGAAACCCTAAGCCCTAAAGGTCTGTCCCTGGGGGTTTCCCCGCAACAACTTTGTGTCCAGGACTTTGGAGGTTGGATTTCGGACCTGAATTTGGATCTTGGGCGAAGCTGGGTAAGGGGGCTGATGACGACATGGTGATCGCGACATGACGACGGCGACGTGATGATGGCGACATGATGATCAAGACATTGCGATTGCGACATGCTGATGATGCTGCTGATGATGATGGCGATGTTCATGATGATGATGATGATGATGTTGTTGTTGTCGACGATGATGGTTAAACCCGTCCTAAGCTTTAATAAACTCTAAACCAGGAATTCGCCACCCTCAACCCTAAACCCTAAACCCAGACTCATATTACGGGCTTTGCAGCATGCAGTATACAGGGTTTGAGTAACATATGGGGCTTCAATAATGACCTATACTATTTTAAACTATAGTATAATATACCCCTAAATCCTATGCTAATCATTAAGGCTCCTACATTAGGTTCATGAAGTGCATCGATAGACGGCTTTGTGGGAGTTTGTGGTGGTGTTGGAACACCAATCACCCTCATATGAACCTCAACTAGTTGGTACGTGGTTCTAAAGAGTTGTTGAAGAAGGCGGTAGTTTGGAGGCATTCCGAAAAAACAGGGCTTTGATGAGTTAGAAAGCAAGCTCGGCATACTCGGCATACCTTCTGGTTTAGGGCAGGGGTTTGCTGGCCGGCTCCTGTCGCATTTCGAGGATGTCTTCTACGGCTCGAAATCATCTCATCAAGCAAACCACCAGAACACCATGTTCTCCCTCTCTATGCACACATATCTCATCAAGCAAGCTACCGCAGCAACCATTTTACGTGGGGATCTCTCTCCTCTCTCGGCCCCGAAGTCTTAAAACTCAAAGCCCTAAGGCCCAAAACCTTGGCCCCAAGCCTCCAAGCCTCCCAAGGCTGTAGGGGTTTAGGGGTGTAGGGGTTTAGGATTTAGGGGTTTATGGGCGGCTGTGCAGAAACCTCAACTCCTGTAGAAGTTCCTTGTTGACCTTCTCCCTAAACCCTAAACGGCCCTAAACCCTAAACCCTAAATACCCAAGCCTATAAACCCTAAACGGCCCTAAACCCTAAGGCTAAACCCTAAACCCTAAATACCCAAGCCCCCCAAATCCTTAAACTCTATATAATCGGCCCTAAACCCGAAACCCTAAATACCCAAGCCTAAACCCTAAACGGCCCTAAACCCTAAGGCTAAACCCTAAACCCTAAACACCCAAGCCTCCCAAATCCCTAAACCCTAAACGGCCTTAAACCCTAAACCCTAAATACCCAAGCCTAAACCCTAAACGGCCCCAAACCCTAAGGCTGAATACCCAAGCCCCCAAAATCCCTGGAAGCCCAGACAGCGGCGGACTTGGGGTTGGGTTTCGTGTTCCTTGTATATGGATAGTTTAGGGGTTTGGGGGTTTGGGTTTAGGATTTAGGATTTAGGGTTTAGGGTTTAGGGTAGTTCTCTATCAAGGGACCCGAATTGAGCGAACTACCCATATAATAGCATGAGGGTTTCGGGTTCAAAAGGTTTGGGAGTTTAGGGCTTTTGGGGTGTAGGGTTTAGTGCATTCCTTACTTAGAAGCTTTCAAGGTACCCAAGGCAGAAACTGTTCGCTCACCAAATGAGGCTCCTCCCCATCCTCAGCTGTTCCATGGAATTCTTCCTGGCAAACTGGAAACCCGGCTCACGTCTGGTCTTCGTGGTCGAGTCGAGTAGGTAACCTTAAACCTTCGTGGGCTAGGCTCGTGCCAAAAGGTTCCTTTTTGACAAGTAATATAGGGGCCTTCATGATTACCTATGCTCTTTTTGGGGGTTCCTTGTAACTATAGTATAGTATACCCCGAAACCCGATTTTGAAGGCCCCTAAATTCAGCGTGAGGGTCTGGGCTTTAGGAGGGCTCAAAGAGTTCCTCTTAAGGGCTGTTCACATCAGGACTTGATTCTTCCAACTTAAACTTTCAGTATGTGTTTGTGCATGTATCCCTAGGGGTCCGGGGACTCGAATAATGCGACTTCTATGGAGTCCTTCGCTCAAGCGTCCTCGGTCTGAGGCCCCCGCTAACAAGGGTTTGGTTGTTATTATAATATATATGTCATATAGCTATATATATATATACAATACTCTATATATATACACTATATATATACTATATATAGATATACATATAATATATGTATATATAATAAGAGTCCTAAGAGAGGGGAGGGGATTGTTAAAGAGGCTTCCCAGATGGCTCTCATTTTCTTGCTGCTGCGATCATCGCTTTCGCTTCTGCCCTTTGCGAGCACCATCGGACAGCAACCTGATCAGGGGTAACGGGAAAGGAGTATCGATACAAATTATTCGGTGGGAATGGCTTTCGAAAAAAGCAAAAAGTTTGGCATAAAGGCCTCGTGTACCATCGCAGCAGCACCGACCGCTCCACAGTAAGCTGGTGTGCTGTTCTTGCCAGTCGCTTTGCGAGTTGAATAGCAGCTTCTCCTCGAAAATTATGAAACTTTCGGCAGTTGGTTCTGTCTCGTACAGCATCCAGTAGCAAGTGATGATAAACGTGATGCTTGGGTCGTAGCTGCCAGGCAAGGCGACGTTCAGCAATTGCCAGCTTTGCAAGTCGAGCATACCCAGCCAGATGTCGAAGCCCACAGTCCCGAAGCCCGATGGCTTCGGCCTCTGACAAAAACCTGCCCGAAGTCTCTACCTTCCCATACCAGTCGTGAAGGTAATACATAGTCGCTGCAGCAAGTTCCAACCTTTCGGTTTTCAGCAAATCTGCAGCAACACGGCACTCGAAAGCCAGCCAGCTGGTAACAACACGGCCGTTGTGAGCCTTTGTCTGGAAGTAACAAAACTCCTCGCCCTTGGTCACCAGCATGTAGGGCTTGAATGCCGATTGAGAAGTTTGCACACCATGGTTTTTGCAAAAGCTTTGAAACTTCAACAAGGCATCATTGAATCGAGCTGACTCGTTCTGCCCAGCGAAGTAGCCATGCTGTACCAGCTCGTGCATAGCTCCCCCGTTCGCATGCAGCCCGATGCCCAAGTGGACAGTATGCATGCTACACCACTTGATCATCTTGTAATCAAAACCCAGGCAATATAACAGTGCATTGCAAGGCCGTGAAGCAGGTAGCTGTTCAGCAATAAATTGCTGGTGACTCCGCTCCGTTCCCAGCCAAGCCGGCGAAGCTTTGAAGTCCACGAAGCTACACCGAGGATCACTCTTTGAAGCGGAGCAAACATGGCATACAGAATCAGCAAGCCAACTCGATGAGAAACCAAAGCATTGAAAGTGCCACTTCCAATCGCCACGTACTTCCCAGAGCCTGCAGCGAAAGCCCAAATCGCCCGGAATTGCTGATGGACTGTGCCACGGATCGCCGTTGACAGCACGGCTTGGTGTCTTGCCTATATAGCAGCAGTTCAGGGACCAACATAAAAAATCCCACACAGGAGCCAAACACTCCATACTCTCCATTCTGTCTGTTCGCAAAGCAAAGACGGGGAAGCGAGTGCCCCAAACAGATACCTTCCTGTCATCGTACAAAGGGAAGCCTGGTTTGTTGCTGGAGTTTATAATAGAACTTATAAATACATTGAGGGTTTAGTGTTCAGGATTTAGGGCTTATGGAGGAACACCCAAAGGCATCAAAACAACTTTGAGCCCCTAAACCCCAAGAGTACCAAGGCACTAATGTAGATAACAAGAATCTTCTGCTTCGTCTGCGTGTACTCGGCTTCGTCGCCGTAAATACACAGTGGATGCACAGTGTAGCCGTCCTTGAAGTTCTTGCACTTATCAACACCGGCACTACCGACAGCTGCATGGTGCTGCCAGAACTTTTTTGCATCTTCGTCGTGCAAAAGCAGCTTCCCAGCTCGTAGCAACCAGGAAACCAGCTCGTGAGGGGCAATGATTGGCACGGGGCTAGGAGCAATGTTGCCATCTTTCCCCTTCAAGGGAATCTTTATCTGGTGCAGATGCGGTGCCTTCAGGGGTAAGGTGGGCTTGGAATATATTGATATTAATGGGTGTAGGGTTTAGGGCTTAGGCTTAGGGTTTAGGGTTTAGGTTTAGGGCTTAAGGTTAAGGTGGGCTTGGTATTAATGGGTTTGGGGTTTAGGGTTTAGGTTTTAGGTTTAGGGCTTAAGGTTAAGGTTTTTTTGGAAGATTGATATTAATGGGTTTAGGGTTTAGGTTTAGGGCTTAAGGTTTAAAGTTTAGGGTTTAGGGTGTGCGGCCTTGCAATCCAAGATCTTTTCAGAAGACCGTAAAATATCTCTTTGAATATTCGATTGGTGTTTGCCACTGGCACCAGCTCTAGCCAGCTGTCGAACTTCAGTGGAGCTCCGGGAGCCCAGATCCTCAGAACCGATTCGGGCTTCAAGTCGGGCTGGGTTCTTGGGCCTAGTGATAGTGATTTTTTGGTTTGCTGGGATAAGGGTTTAAGGTTTAAGGATAAAGGTTTAGGATTTAGGGCTTTAGGGCTTTAGGGCTTTTGGGGTTTGGGGTTTTAGGGTTTCACAATTGCAACTTCAACCCTACACCCCGAGACTGTTAGTTCTGGCTTTGGCGCGTGGACACGGTAGGTCCTGGGGGTCTGAAACCTGATCAACTACTCGTCGGGTTTGCTTTCGGTTTTGCAGTTGGGGCACATCCACCACGGCTTGAGCCACTTCTTGAGCAGCCGAGGACGTCCATTCCTCGGCCGGCGGTTGCTCTGGGATGGCATGTCTCTAGTCTGGGTAATTATGTTTATGGGGTTTACTGTTCAAGTTTCAGAGCTTAGGGCTTTGGGTCGAAGGTTCAGGGCTTGGCTTCGCCGAATTGAATAATTGCTTCTTTCAAGGGTTCGGCCAATGGCATGAAGTATCTCTCGGGCCCCAATAATGCAAAGCCAAGCTGCAGCAGCTGCCACTCCAGCAATCAATCTTTGTGCCAGCGAGCTGCCCACACCAGAGTCTGCGTGAGGGAACAGAGTAAGGCGTGAAATAGGTGATTACTCAAGTCTCGGTGGTGTTGCTTGATTCCCGATAGCTACATCACAATATTCGCCTTTTTCAGCCTGCAGGCCCTTGTGCACCGTGGTCCCCAAAACTTCAACATCCTGATCGGACTAGGATCAGTCGAGGATTGTTGGCGTTGAGACTGCACTGCAACAGCGACTGTGAAGAGCAGCAGAGCATTCTTGAAAATATAAAGGGCCCCCAACAAATTAAGCTTAAGCCCTGAACCCTATAAGCATATAGGCTGCCCATCACCTAAACGATGCAGTGATTATGTCTCTGCCACATCTAGGCTTCGATCTGCACTGCGACAGAGTGCCGACTCGTCGAAGCCACCCGGCCAAAAACTCCTAAGGAGTCTTACAGAAATCATCACGGTTTCGCGGCCTGCTTGGCCCTAGAAGCTTTGGCCTTTGGCTCTTTCTTGGTCTTGGGCTTGTTCATGCTCATAGCTCGTTTGAGGGGAGCAACTTTGTCATCGTAGCATTTGAAAGCAAGAGTGCATCGATCATTCAGCTCCCCAAGGCTCTTTTCATCGGCCTTTCCTAGGTTTTGCTGAAGATCACTCAAAGCAGACTTCAGCTGCTTAATCGGCTCATCCATGTCCTGCACCATAGCCTGGGCGTAGGTTGCTGTCCTGGGATGGGTTCGTCGTCGCCCTATGGCTTTTTTTTGAGTAGGATTCTGAGGTTCAGGGTTTCGCTTTTAGGGTTCAGGTGGGAGGTCCGGAAATTGCCAGATAGATAAAGCTTCGGGCTGTTGGGCACTTTAGCAGGTTTTCGGGGCTGAGAATTTCGGCTTGACTAGAGTCCTTATGCTAGCGGGGTTTGGGCTTGTAGGTGCTTTGGTTCAAAACCGTATCTAGCCTAAACCCTACAGCCTATAGCTTCAAACCCTAAATCATAACCCAAAAAACAAACCCATTAAATATCAAAAATATTCGGGCATAGCGGGGGCGGCTGGGTCAACATCCTTAAAGCTTGCAGTTGGGAACGGACAGCTGCCTGGACATATAAATAATATAATAATAGTATTCAGGTTTATATATATATATAAACCCTAAACCCTAGAGCCTAAACCCTAAACCCTAAAACCCAAGCCCCCCAAACCCCCAAACCCCTAAACCCCTAAACCCTAATACCGTGCTACACACACACACACATACACATGTATATGGCGAAGTGCACATTGTTCGCGATCAGCTGCTGCAGAAGCGTGTCGGCATCAACCACCTTCAAGACACCCTTTTGCACGTGGTCACGGGCCTGGTTCGTGGTAGATTTCGCTTTCGGTTTCGGCTTCGGCTTGTTCTCCCCGGATGGGTTGGCATTGGTCTCGCCCGGGTCACCGTTACCGCCCGATAGCATGGCAGCCCTTGGATTGAATTCGAGGAAATGCATCGAAGCATGCCATTAAAACCCGAGCCAAAGTATGATATACATTGGCAAGAGACCCAACATGAGCAGCGGCTTCACCCTGGAGAGTGACACCACTCTCCCAAATTCGCTCCTCCTCGGAATCTTCCTCGTCCACTTCTTCGCGACCATCGAAAACTCGAAACATCTGCTGATCCTGGCAGATTGGTGCTTCGAAACTTTTGAGTTTTGCATGGCATAGTATGCATGAAACCCAGCCCCCCTATCCTCGAGCTTCGGCGTATCAGGGTGTAGCATCCAATGCCGGCCCGTGCAGTTCGGATCCAACTCCATTTTATGGAGTTTGATGGCGGA